GGCCTGCCCAAGACCTTGATTTTTGCTTCCAGCTCTGAGACAGGCACACTGACACACACATTCCACAGTCACCCTAAGCCCTCACCGGCCTTCCTGTTCCTCATTCTCCCACATCCTGCTTCCCTCACGTTCCCCAGCCCCTGGACACTCTCCTCAGGCAGGGATGGTAGCAGCCTGATCCCTGCTGCAATAGACCTCACTTCCCTCGCAGGTTCTAAAAAGTTTAGACATGCAATTCAAAACACACGCTTAATATAAAGAAGTCAAAAAGTTCTGAGACGACTCAACGACACGTAACAACAGCAACAAAAAGTTCTGCTTTTTCTCCATGATGACTCTCCAAGACATTTCTGCTAGTGCCAGATAAACTGCTCCAGCACCGCAACCCCCAGTTCTTGTCAGCTTGATTCCGAGTCATGGCAACCCCGTGTGCATCAAAGTAGAACTGTGCTCCCCGGGGTTTTCAATGGCTGATTTTTCAGAAGGTGACAGCCAGGCCTTTCTGCCAGGTGCCTCAGGGTGGACTCGAACCTGCAATCTTTCAGGTAGGATCCAAGCACATTAACCATTCCCATCTCCCAGGGGCTCCACTGATATTTCTTTTGTGCTAACCACATGCCTGTTGTATCCACTCAATCAGTCCTCACATAAACCTGAGACCACTGTGTTACAGAAAAGGCGACAGGCTCAAGGAGGCTCAGTGACTTCTCCAAGGTCCAAGGTGGTCAAGTGACCACAGACAGCAGTGGAGGTGGAATCTGAATCCAGGTCATGCCAAGTGGTGAATTATTCAAACCAAACAAACAATTCCTCTCCCTGGGACTCAGCCCCAACCCGCTCCTGCAACACACACACCGCCACCTGCCCTCCTGCACCCAGGCCCGGCACCCACACACCTTGACAAACTCCTCTGTGCCCTTCTGGCGGAAGGTCCACTCCGTGAAGGTCTCAGCGGTGGTCTCGCTCCGCCGCTTGCAGGAGATACACAGAATTTTGAAGGTCATCCCGTATACAGCCTCCGTCTCTGAGTCCACCTCCACGCAGCCCCCCCAGGCTGAAGATACTGTAGGGACAGCAGAGCCATGTCAAGCAGGGGCACCCGTCACCCCGGGCAAGCGCAGGCTCCCTGGTGGATGGCTTTCAGGCCCCTGGGAAACCATCTGTTTCCCCTCGAGAAGGAATACGAATGGGCAGAAATGGGCACCCAGCTGGCCCTGCCACTTGTCACGTGACCTTGGCAAGTCACTGATTCCCTCTGAACCTCACTTTCCTTCTCTGTTATGTGAAGGAAATGAACCTCTTTGTTGTTGTTGGTTACCTTAAGTTCAGTAAGGCCTCCGAGTGGGGCCTGGTACACAGGAGACCCTTCCTCAGAATGTCACCTGCCCAAGGTACCACAGCATCTAGGTGACCTGCCCAAGGTACCACAGCATCTAGATGTCTAGCAGAAGTCCATCTAGCAGAAGTCCAGCTGCAAGTTCAAGGGGGCAGTCATTTCCACTATTATTGCTCTACAAAACCTGCCAGCCCCAAGCGAAATGGGTTGGGAGAAGGAAGGGGAAGTGGGGGCTGCTCCCCTCCCGCCCTGCTCCGGGTCCCACCAGCCCCTGGGTGAGCTACCCCCAATTTCTCCCGCCCTGACCCACCTCTTCTAGGCTCCTCATCTGCAGCCCTTCACCCCACCTGCTGCCAGTTTCCCAAACTCAACAACTCTTTCTTTCTTCAGGGCCTTTGCATCCCAGCTGGACCCCTTCTCCTACCTCCACACTCACCGCCCCTCCTGCCGCCTCCCAGTGCTCCCTAGCTAATGCTGAGTCTCTCCTGCCCCAGAATCTATCCTTGGGACTTCTTGTCCTCTCCTGCTGCTCCGCTGTCTCCCTGAGCTCCTGTCTGTCTCTTTCTCTCCCCTTTCCGTGGCTTGTCTTTATGTCTCTGTGGTGGTCTCCCTGAAGTGTCCCACCACTTTGCGTCCTCTCTAAGCTCAGACTCACTCTCTCCACCTCCCTCCACCTTTCCCTGTCTCTCTCTTTTTAAAACTCCAGGTTCGATCTGTCTCCACATCTGTCTTGGTTTCTCCACCTCTATCTGCCTGTCTCCAGTTTCTCCACGCTCAGAATCTCATCTGTTTCCCCACTCTCTCTCTTTCTGTCTCACTGTCTCTGTCTCTGTGTCTCTTCTTCCCCAAGCTCTCCAGCCCTTGGTCTGCAAGCTCAGAGTACTTCTCTCAGTGTCCCCCTTTAACCCCATCTCTCCCAAGTCTCCCGGCGGCACACTTGGGTCCATTCTGAGTTCTTCCCTGCATCTTGCCCTCTCCCCTCCCATCTCTCCCGGCCTCTCTGTCCCGGTCTCTGGGCGCCGCCCTCCCCTCCATCCCCCTCCCGCGGCTGTGGGTGTCACATTGCAGCCTGCGGGGCTCCCGAAGCAGCTGACAGCGCGTTTCCTGGCTCCCAGCTGGGTGCCCGTGGCCACGAGACTGTGCCAGCCCGGCCCCTGTCCTCTCTTGTCCACCCGCAGCCCCACCCCCACTGCCCTCCCTAGCCCCGCTCCCCACGCACACAACTTCTTTCTGAAGCGGACTTAGCCGGGCCGAGGGGATGGGCTGGGAGCAGCCCTCGCGCCGCTGCCGGGGGTCCAGAGCGCGAATCCCGCCGCCGGGGTAGTGCCGGGGCCGT